ACTATATGGGGTGCTGCCCCTATTTTCCTGCCGGTGACACTTGTCCTCTATACGCCTAGAGGTCACTTTGCCTGGGACCGCTGCAGAACCCTTATCCGGGAATAGAGCGCAGGCAGTGACTTCTATGCAGTGACCGCCTCCGTGGAATTAGGCTTCGGCCAGGGTCCTCCCTAAAGCTTATCAGGAGCATAACGCAAGAGGGCCCACCTTTAAAAAGGCAGGCGACTTGAATGAGTTAGACTCTCCTTGAGGAGAGCAGGCAGGTGCGCATAAGCGCAACTGGAAGGGTGAAGGCCCTGAACCAGCGACTTGAATGAGTCAGACTCTCCTAGATGAGAGCAGGCAAGTGCGCATAAGTGCTACTGGAAGGGTGAAGGCCCTGAACCAGGCTCCCGGAAAGATTAGACTCCGGAGAAGCATCTAGTCCCGATACGATTGGCCTTGACGGCCAGACTACACTGCCTATATGGCGCGGGGGAAGCGATGACCACCGGACGCGGCAGTGACCACCTTCTTAAAAAAGGCAGACGACTTGAAGGAGTCAGACTCTCCTAGAGGAGAGCAGGCAAGTGCGCATAGGCGCTACTGGAAGGGTGAAGGCCCGGAACCAGATGCCCGGAAAGATTAGACTCCGGAGAAGCGTCTAGTCCCGATACGATCGGCCTTGACGGCCAGACTACACTGCCTATGTGGCGCAGGGGTGAAGGTCCCCGTAACCTCTCCCCCTACCATGACCCCCCTAGCTGAATGGCGGGCGGACCGGTCCCCCTCGGAGGGAGAGGACGATGGGGGTGTGGACTATGATGACGGTCCCTGGTGGCACCATGAGACGTAGAACAAAGCCCACTACAGGGGCCCCGTCGACCGTGGAAGAAGAGGTCGTCTCGTGGGTCGCCTTAAATGAACCCCTGTTCGACCCTCGATCCATTGCTCACCTGGTTTCTTTGGAATGGTCTCTGCCCGATCACCTAGCACCAACGGTGCATTTCTGGGCCCGTAGACTGCTGGCGTAAGAAGCCCGCAGGATACTTTGAGCGGTATACCCAGGTGGGCTCCCGAACAAAGTAGCCGTGAACCCAGACTTTGCTGGTTAAAGCACCTTTCTAGTATTCAGGAGATCCTGAGTGCGGCCCACTGCAGTCCCTATACTTTACTTTTAAGTCTGCACTGGCAAGCCGATTGTTCTCCGCTACACGAGTGAGTTGTGCTAGGGGAACATACGAGGAAGTATAATATGTGTCCATTTTTTTATATGGAAATACTTGACGGAGGCATATCTAAGCTCCAACCCGTACTTTTATAGGGGATTGGACCCTTGGCCCGTAATGTCACACTTGCCTCCACTTCCGGATAACACGCCAGACGGGGCCCCGAGTCTGGGGTTGCAGACGGCCCTATCCTAAACGCATTTTGGACTGCTGGAGGTGCTTGGGATAAAGGGATCTGAGCCCCTTGGAGTTCCTGCACGAGTCTACGATTGAACGTATATCCATTAGTTACTTTGAATTAGACGTGGTCCTCAAGAAACTTCTAGGGACCGCAGGGACCATTCCTGGTAAGGTGGGCTCTATTTTCTCTCTGTTGAGATGAGTATCTGGTGCATCATTGATTTGGGCGATAGGTCAGGTGGGGATTATACCACCTACGCCATACAAGTGAGCAGTATATCCTGCTCACTTAAATGTGAGTATTCTATACATATTTTATCTCAACGTTATTATAACATTTATACAGTGAGCACTATTCTGTGTTATCCTCTTCTCTCTCGAGGATCTCGGTTATGTGCATACGCCTATATCCCATCAGTTGGGGACTAATACCACTGAATGTGAAGTACACCTGAGCTAGTTCAAGCTCCATAATAGGTGAGTGCGATACCTCTTTACTTTGAATCTTCATAAAGAAGCGGAAGTTACAGTCTACACTATTGGATTTTTTTCTCTGTTCTATTTTGCATATTGCTATCCGGAACAAAACACTACATCCATTCCTCTACTCCCATTTGGACTATTTCTCTTTTACAAGTGGATGTGACCATTTCCTGCTTACTTTAGAACAGTTTTTTTCTCTTTTTTTATGTACTGATATATGTAAGTACTTACCATATTGCATATATACGTTTTAGTAGTTTTATATGAAGATATTTCAGTTTTAACCTATGTTTGTATTATTTGTTTTATCTTTTTACATACAATTTTTTTGGCGCGACCTTATACCTTTTTTCCTTCAGATAATACAACCTGGTTGGCAGGTTGGGAGGAATTTAGGACATATCAGGAATACCAGAACTATTTGAAGAGATCCTTCTCGTTTTCCACGCGTTGGGACCCGGACGCGACACTTCCCCGATATAGGTCATCTAGCTGTATGGTCTACCTGGACGGGCTTGCCAGACCCCTTGTGAGGTACCTCCCAGACCGAAAGGTCAGGCACTCACTGCGTTTTCCCTTGTTCGAGTCCCTGGATTTCGTTTCAACCGAGGAAATATCGACCCCCTCTACATCTCGATGAGTAGAGTCCTGGAGGGCAGATTGGACACAGGTGCCTCCTACGCTCTCCTCTGCCCAAGTTCTCGTACGTATGGATTAGTTTTTCTGGAAGGACCCGGCGTCAAGACTTTAGTCCACAGAGGAGGACCCATCAGGCCCCGACCAGTTTCAGCTGGCTGATGGACCCATTTGCTCAGCGATGGACGCTTCCCTCCAGGAGTGTTCGACATGGAGACATGGACGAGTCGCCTCCATTTGTTTGGTCCTAGGACCTTTCTACAGGTGTCTCGGTCTGCTGGTACTTTGGAATTATGATCTCCGCTTCGGCAGAGTCGAACCTAGTTCCTGGATTCCCTGGACCGGGCCCATTTGATTTCGGGGATTGTGAGACGTTTGTCTGCATGGCGACCCTGACGTAGTTGGGTCTGGTACGGATTTCCTAATTTGCGAACGCTTTTACAGGGTTCGAGTATTGTTCGGTCACTTTATTACCAGGGACTGCCGTATTATTTAGATTAGGTAGCGCGTACGACTGTTTTTCGGCAGACCTTGCTCTGCTTAGAATTCCCTTCAAGCAGGCGTGTGGGTTCATAGGGATGTGAGTCCTTTACGATTCCCGAGGACGGATATTCATCTCCCCAGGGGGTACACGCGTTTTTGTCGTGCTCCTATGGTGGGTTCTGTCTGGTTTTAGTCCATTCACTGACTCTGGATTTATTTCCGTCATTATACCTTGTTTTTTTCCTTCAGATGGGTTTGGCGGTTTCGGCCCTTAGTTGTCTATTGGCCCTAGTTGAATATTCATATTCTTACCTTGGTAACGCCCCCACCTTTAGGAGGCGTTCAACGTCACTGTTTGTTTAGACGGTTCTTTCCTTTTTCTCGCCCTTCATGTACCGCTTGGTTGGGGTTGGCATTGGCGGGGTGTATAGGTTTTTTCGGTTCACTTCAGTCAGTAACACGGCGACTTCAGGTACCGACATGGCAGGCACCTTTCTCCAAGACATCGTACAATTTTCTGCCGGAGCAATCTTTTCAGAGTTTAGGTTGGCATGGCGGATCGTGTTTCTTTGGTCTTTTTCTGTCTGAACGTTAAAACATCAAATATGAAGCCTCCTGTCATGCTATAAAATTGTAGATTATACTAGCTTTAGTGTAACTATAAACTTAATTTTATTAATGACAGGAGGCGAATATTCCCCCCCCCCCCCAGTTTTTTCAACCTACCATGTTTCCTTGTGGGTTTCTTGACCTCTTTTAGGGGATAGACACTTTTTTCAAGTTCCGTGTTAAGATAGGTCAATTATTTGCCATCCTGAGGGAGGTCAGGGTATGATTTTAGAGCTATTGTACTGTTTTTGTTTATGGATACTCAGGTTTTCACAGTAAGTTTCATTCTAGGTGGTACGGTTTATAATCTATGATGGGTATTCAGGTGTGTACAGTACATTTCATCCAATGTTGTACTATCGGTAATTGAGGATGGGTATTCATGTTTTCACAGTACATTTCATTTACTAATCGGTGTTTTGACTCTGTTTATATCTTTTCAGTTTAATGGTTCATCTACTGATCCCGGTTCAAGATTTTCCGCAGGATAAAATTAAAGTTTAAAGGTTTGACTCTGGTTCTTTGATCCAGATCTTCTTCAGGATAAAGGTCAAGATTTCATCCACTGGCTCCATGTTACATTCGGATGGCTATCATCATCTCATACATCGTATTATTATGTTTTCTTCTATTATATTTAGTAGTTGTGTATTATTGTACTTTACTTTGTCGCAGCGTGAAAGAGGAAATAGTTGGTTGCGAGGAGCCTTTTATGGATTCTTGACTTTTTGTCTTTGGTGTTTTGTTAATGTGCTGCTGTGGAGTTCTAGTAAAGAGAGACTTAAGCAAATATTCGCCTCCTGTCATTAATACAATTAAGATTATAGTTACACTAAAGCTGGTATAATCTACAATTTCTTTGTTATAAGTTTGTGTGCCAAAAAACAAAAAAACACAATTTTACTCCAATATTTAGCAGAGGTTCGCGGTGAAATGGCTACGTAGAAAGTGTCAAAACAACCTTAGGTAAATAGCCCGTGATGTCTACTTTATATAAATATATACTTTTGTGTGGCAATTTTGTTTTCTTTTATGGCTATTAAGCTTACAAGACAAACATACCAAATTCTAACATCACTCCACATTAAAAGTTTATTTTACTCCTTGTGCTTTGTGACCTGTAACTACCAAAAAAATATTAAAATCCCAGACACATTATATATTCTGTAAATCAGAACAACTAAATGAATTTATTTTTAATTACTTTCCCTAACCTGCACTAATTGTGCACACATTATTATTGCAAAAACGGTAAAAAAAAAAACCACAAAATGTTTAAATTTTTTTTGCATTTTTCTGTATTTTTTTAATAATAAATAAGCATTTATATATATATATAAAACAAAAATAGTAATGCACTCCACCTTCCTTGATGTACTTGCCCGGTGCTTATCAGCAAACAGATACAGCCAAAAGTACAAGATAGCACTCCAGGGACTTCAACTTGGAAGTCCCTGGAGTGCTATCTTGTACTTTTGGCTGTATATATATATGTTACATCAAATTAAAGTCCTTTCTGTTCTTTAAAAAATGGTATCTAATATGTGTCAGTGCAATAAATTAGTAAAATGCAAATTGCAGTTGAATGTAAACAGCAAAAAATGCTGTTGTCATTAAGTGAAAGACAAGTTTCTGAAGCTCTGTCCTTAAGGGGATAAGACTTTTACCTTGAAAAGTACTTTTTTTTTTTCTTGTCATGTATTTTACAGTTAATAATATACAACAAAGCCAAATAAGTTTTCTAATAAAGAGACCAATTGGATTCTGGTTTCAAATTCAGTGAATTTTTCATTTATACAACCTTGCTTTTTTTCTAAGCGCTAAAGGACATAGAAACATAGAATGTGATGGAAGATGAGAGCCGTTCGGCCCATCTAGTCTGCCCAATTTTCTCTTAGTCTCTTATATCTAGGATAGTTTTAGGCCTATCCCACGCATGCTTTTCTCTGTTCAATCTCCCCTTTTTCTCTGCCCAATTCTTCCCCTGCTTCTCCTCTGCCCCATGCTCTCCCTGCTTCTCCTTCACCCCATGCTCTCCTTGCTTCTCCTTTGCCTCATGGTCTCCCTGTTTCTCCTACACCCCACACCCTCCATGCCTCCCCTCTGCCCAGATTCTTCCTGCTTCTCCTCCACCCCGGGCTCTCGCTGCTCCTCCTCCGCCCCAGACACACAATTACACAGACACACTGTCACACATGCAGACACACAGACACACCTGTAGATACACACACTGACATACATACAGATGCCCAGACACATAGATACAATGATACACAAACATACAAATACATACAGTAACACATATACAGACGGAATAAACCACTGACACACATGCATATACACAGACACACAAACACACACACTGACACACAGACACACAGATACATACCCTGAAACACAGATACATATCCTGAAACATATGCAGATACAGTGAAACACAGATACATACAATGGTACACACATGCAGATACACAGATACAGACACTGACACACACAGATACATACACTGACACACATGCAGATACACAGATACAGACACCGACACACACAGATGCATATACTGACACACATACAGACAAAGATACCCACACTGACATACAGATACGGACACTGATGCACAGATAAAGTGACACACATGCAGATACAGATACTGACACAGATATAGAGACTGAAACACATGCAGATACAGATATACTGTTTCATACCCTGACCCACATATACACATACAGATACATACCCTGACACACATACAGATACATACACACATAGATACATACACTGACACACTTAAGGATACATACCTTGACACACACCCTGACACACAGATACATACTCTGATACATATGCAGATACACAGACACATAGATACATAAACTGACACAAATACGACACATACCCCGACATATATGAACACATACCCTGACACACAGACACACTGACACAGAAATACACACTCTGACACACATGCAGATACAAAGACACACATGCAGACACACATTGACAAACATGCAGATACAAAGACACATACATATACACATACACTGACACACCTAAAGATTCATATCCTGACACACACAGATACACACACTGACACAGATACACACACTGACACATAGATACACACATAGACACACATATACACAGGAATACACACATTGACACACAGATACATACCCTGACACAAATGCAGTTACAGAGATACATAGATAGACAAACTGACACAGAGATACACACTCTGACACACATGCAGATACACAGAGAGACAAACTGACAAACATGCAGATACACAGACACATACATATACACATACACTGACACACTTAAGGATTCATACCCTGACACACAGATACACACACACTGACACACATATACACACCATGACACACAGATACACACATTGACACACAGATACATACCCTGAAACATGCAGGTACACAGAGATACGCACACTGACTCACAGATACATACCCTGACACACATGCAGATACACAGACATATAGGTGGACTAACAGACATGTAACTGTAACCAGACCACTGGACGTACAGGAACAGAGAGGTGGAGGGCCCTGCTCAATGAGCTTACATTCTAGGGGGAGAGGGGTATAGTGACACAAAGGGTAAAAGTAGGGGTACGAAGTAGGTTGTTAGAAAAGTATTCACTGAGGGCTTAGTAGGTAATTTTTGACAGTTGCAGGAGAGGAGTCATGGGGTGGGGGAATAAAAACCTGCTAACAGTTTAATTGATATGCTTTCTTGAAGAAGTGAGTTTTCAATGATTTTTTGAATGAGTGGAGACTGGATGAAATTCTTACGGAGAAGGGAAGGGAAGGGAGTTCCACAGAAGAGGTGCAGCCCTGGAGAAATCTTGGAGGCGAGCATTAGAGGTGGGTGTACGGACAGAGGATATACGTAGGTCTTTGGCAAAGCGTAGGGGCCTAGATGGGACATACTTTTGTATTAGGGAAGATAGGTAGGTTGGAGCAGCATTATGTAGGCCCTATATCTAACTGGAAGCCAATGCAGGGACTGACAGAGGGGGAGGCGTGGGAGGTGCGAGCGGACAGGAAAATTAGCCTTGCCGCCACATTCATTATAGATTGCAGCGGTGCAATCTGGGAACACCTAAGACTACTGAGAAGGGTATTGCAGTAGTCAAGGCGAGAGAGAACAAGAGCATGGACCAGCATCTTAGCCGCATCCGGGGTTAAATAGGGACGAATTTGCGCTATGTTTTTGAGATGGAAGCGACAGGATTTGGTGATTGATTGGACATGAGGGGTGAAGGAGAGGTTGGAGTCAAAAAGAACGCCCCGGCAGCAAGCCTTCGAGGTAGAGGTGATGGTAGCGCCGTTGACTTGGAGGGAGACAGACACGGGAGTAGTAACACTTGAGGGAGGAAAGACCAGAAGTTCTGTTTTGGACAGGTTGAGTTTAAGGACGTGAACAGCCATCCAGTTGGAAATTGCAGAGAGGCAGTCAGAGACACGAGTCAAGATGGGCGGAGAGAGATCAGGAGAGGACAGGTAGATTTGCGTGTCATCCGCATAAAAATGATAAAGGAAGCCAAAGGAGCTGATGAGTTTACCAAGGGAGGTATGATAGAGAACAGTAGGGGACCAAGGACCTTCGGGGACACCAACAGAGAGTGGTTGGGGGGGAAGAGGCAGAGTCAGAGAAAGAAACACTGAAAGAGCGCTGGGAGAGGTAGGAGGAGCATCAGGAGAGAGCAGTAGACCAAAATTATGGAGAATTTCAGGTCCAATGGACATCTTGGTGTATATAAAATTAAATGTATTGAATAAACTAATTAAATTTTTTTTTAAAAATGAATATATAAATACACATATGTTAAAAGGAGGAATTGCATTTTTAAAGGATGTATATAAAGATCTTAACAAAAATATATACTCTATGTATATAGTCAGATGGGATGTTTTATCAAAGATTATGTATAAAGTAGTGATAAAGTGCAGAATAGGTCTCAATACGACTTATGACAAGTAGAGACTTACAATAAAATATAGAAAATAGTATATATAAAAACTATAAAACATATATATATATATATATATATATATATAGAATATGTATAAGTAAAGCATTGTGGATATAATTGTGGATATAATATATATATATATATATATATATATACACTGCTCAGGTAGTGCAGCTCAGGTAGTGCAGCTCATCCAGGATGGCACATCAATGCGAGCTGTGGCAAGAAGGTTTGCTGTGTCTGTCAGCGTAGTGTCCAGAGCATGGAGGCGCTACCAGGAGAAAGGCCAGTACATCAGGAGACGTGGAGGAGGCCAAGGAGGAACAGGAGGAGCTCTGCCAGAGTCCGGCAAAATGACCTCCAGCAGGTCACAAATGTGCATGTGTCTGCTCAAACGGTCAGAAACAGACTCCATGAGGGTGGTATGAGGGCCCGACGTCCACAGATGGTGGTTGTACTTACAGCCCAACACCATGCAGGAGATTTGGCATTTGCCAGAGAACACCAAGATTGGCAAATTTGCCACTGGTGCCCTGTGCTCTTCACAGATGAAAGCAGGTTCACACTGAGCACACTGCTGCCTGCAACATCCTCTAGTATGACCGGTTTGGCAGTGGGTCAGTAATGGTGTGGGGTGGCATTTCTTTGGGGGGCCGCACAGTCCTCCATGTGCTCTCCAGAGGTAGCCTGACTGCCATTAGGTACCGAGATGAGATCATATGCTGGTGCGGTTGGCCCTGGGTTTCTCCAAATGCAAGACAATACTCATGTGGCTGGAGTGTGTCGGCAGTTCCTGCAAGACGAAGGCATTGATGCTATGGACTGGCCCGCCCATTCCCCAGACATGAATCCAACTGAGCACATCTGGGACATCAAGTCTCGCTCCATCCACCAACGTCACGTTGCACCACAGACTGTCAAGGAGTTGGCAGATGCTTTAGTCCAGGTCTGGGAGGAGATCCCTCAGGAGACCATCCGCCACCTCATCAGGAGCATGCACAGGCATTGTAGGGATGTCATACAGGCACGTGGAGGCCACACACTACTGAGCCTCATTTTGACTTGTTTTAAGGACATTACATCAAAGTTGGATCAGCCTGTAGTGTGTTTTTCCACTTTAATTTTGAGTATGACTCCAAATCCAGACCTCCATGGGTTGAAAAAGTTGATTTCCATTTTTTAATTTTTGTGTGATTTTGTTGTCAGCACATTCAGTTGTAAAGAACAAAGTATTTCAGAAGAATATTAAATTCATTCAGATCTAGGATGTTATTTTTGTGTTCCCTTTATTTTTTTGAGCATATATATATATGTAATAAATATAAAAAATGAATTGTAAAAAATGACACAGCTCAAAATTATCATTGAAGTCACGTAGTTGCATGGTGTTGAGGTTGAAAATCCATTGCATCTCTGGCTGCCCAATTCTTTTAATGAAATTACCTCCTCTTCAATCTGTTATTATTTTTTGGATTGTAAAAAATTGGAGATGTCGGG